ACACACTCTGATAAACCCATGGAGCCCAGTAGATGGTAAGTAAATATTCATTTTCAAGAAACTGTGTGAGAAATATCAATCTGACTATAAAGAATGAAGCTTCTACATTCAGACTGAGGGTTTCTCTCGTGTTAAGAGGAGAATTGATCCACTTGTGCTTTACATACGGGATTCACCTGCTCCAATATAAATTTAATGGAAATTTTGACTGCCCATTCAATCCGGTTAGACCCGCAGTGGGGTTTAATTTTCCTGTCATGCCCTACCTGTCCACCAGACATCCTCAGTGAGATTCACCTGACACCTGACTGCCTTTGTGATTGACCACCTGCCTGCACAGCTGTTTCTCATTTGCTCGTTAAAGCCGTGGTTTGTGGGAAGGGAGATGTTCCACACACTTTTTCGAGGGTATCTACTTTGTGTGTTAGTTGAGCAGCATCAACATCAGCCTGTTGATTTTTCTTCTTCAACTCCGGTTTGTTGACTGTTAGCCTTTCATCCCAGTACTTCTGAACCCTTTGACCGTCATTTGTGTACCCTGACTGAATTTAGCACCACTCATTTCCTCCTTCACTAAAATTCAACACACGTATTATCACATTAGATGAGGTTACTTTGATACGAATGGAATCCAATAAACAAACTTGCCTGCAGTGGAAGCGCTTAACTATCAAGGATGAGACATCACAGGGATCATTGTACTTGTTGCCGATGGCAGTCATTCTTATTGTTCCATTAAAAATTCTTATTGAAGTTGTGTTTGCCCTCAATGGTGTTGATTTTCTTTGAGTCTTTTTCTTCTCTCGTATCTCAATATCTTTGGCATAATAAAGACTAGGTCTTGGCTTTATTAAAAGGACCAAATTAGTTTATTGGATGAACTTGTACTGTCACTGAGCGACTCCATCACTGGCACTATTGTTGAGAAATTACAAGTACTCCATTGTGTTCTTAGAAACACCTCCATGAGGCACAGAAGTCCAACTCTGGCTCCCAAAACAAGTCCGTAGCAAGATTAATAGAGCTCTTGTTTAGGCGCATATCTCGATTTAGACATTTATAGCCTTAAATAACAACATGGTGAAGTGCCATGTTTTAATAACTGTAAATTAGTGTTTCCCCTGTTGGTAGATGTTGTTTCTTTTTATCAGGAATTTAAAAGCATGGACATTTTGAGAGCATTTTGATTAAAAAGAAGATGTGTTCAATATTGTCTTTTAAAAACACTTTAATCCAAGAGCAATTCATTTTCCTGTTTCTTGATAAAACAAAATAGTGATTCATGAAGCCTTTTAAACATGATGTTCAAAGTAGAGCTTCCTGCTACAAAGAGTACACACTTAAGATTAACACTGTGATGACAGTTAATTTGCTGTATCAAATAATCTATATTTTAACATATTTGCCCACAGAGAGATTAAAAGAACAAACAAATAATAAGGAAAAAATATTACAGGAAATATTATGTTTACATATATATATAACACATATGAAAAGAGAGGCAAACCTGAAATGGCTGATGCTATTAAAATAAAGGCTGAGGATGTACCTGCACAGCAGAAATGCAGGCCAATCCATGCACACATGCAGTGTGCACAGCGGATATAACAATATGACAAGACACCGATAATTTGAAACATATTAAATGATGGTGCATCATGACACTTTAATTATTTTTGAAAATGAGTACATTCAACTCAGGGTCATGATGTAGTCATGAATATAGACATGCTGTGATCATCTGTGGCAGTCTGTCTGTGGCCTCGTGCCAATGACAAAGCCCCGGCTGATACTGTGCTGATATTCAGTACACCATCATTTCTTCTTATTTCTCACACATCACATAAAAGAGAGTATTACCCTAAAATCCAAATTAGGGACGACAAGGAACAGGGTAAACAATGACTAAATAAATCCCCTAGTCCAAACACTGAAATATCTGCTGAAAAGGGCTACACTGTGATCGCAGTCCTCCCTTAGTTTGTATTTAATCAAATCTATTAATGGATCCTTTAAGAAGGAAAAGTCCAAACAGCACTGTCGGTATTCTTATTCAGGGTTTGTATCTGTCACAGTTATTTTCATGCACAAGATTAGAATAAATGCTCTAAATGTGCCTACTTTCCTAAACTTATTCGAGACAACCCCTGACACTGTGGAAAGGTTTTCTTTTTCATCGCCCGTGGAATTAAGATATTAAGGGCAAATGTAAAATTAGAAGTAATCCAAAGGAAAGGAAATCCAATTTAAAATTCATACTGCTTCCTTCACAAGCCATTTCATAACACGGGAAAAATGTGAAGAAACTACAAAGATACTATGTGTGACTGGTGCGAGATAATTTTAAAATTTGATTTAAAAGAGGTGTCTTTTTTATTAAAGCCTAAATAAATGTGATGAAGTTTTTTCTTTCTTTTACTGTATTTCGTAATAATTGTACTCTGATTTATGTTGCAAGGACGTCATCATTTACATGTAAACATTTTGTCTCTAATTTAAGTGGTCAATGGTTATTTTTAGAATATATGGTTCACAAGAAGAGGTAAAATATTAAGACAGTTGAAAGTTGGATGAAGCATTTGACATGCATGCATTACTAAATCATTAACTTACTTATATAAAAGTATAAATTTGGAAAGAATCTATCTTACAAGAATGGAGGTCCTCAATTGGTTCACATAGAACAATAGTCCACTGCTGGTATAGTGGGTGTGTGTGTGTGTGTGTGTGTGTGTGTGTGTGTGTGTGTGTGTGTGTGTGTGTGTGTGTGTGTGTGTGTGTGTGTGTGTGTGTGTGTGTGTGTGTGCGTAAGTTTGTTTGTCTGCTGTGTGGAGCACAGTAAAGTGTGGCTTGAACTGAGTTTCCTTCCTTTGTTTTAACCCTAATGTGCGTGTGTGAAAGTCGTTTTTCACAGGAACTTCATTTTGCCAGTTTTAGACAGTTGCGTTTTAAAACCTTTGCACTCTGGATCCCATTTTCAGTCACCCAAAATGCCTTTCTTGTGTAAAGAAACAGTCAAAACCCAAGAAAAGGTCACTTATTTTGTCTGAAATTGTTATAGTTTAAACAGGGGCTAAATTGTCCCCATTGTTTTACACTGCACATTTTAAAGAAAAGCATTTGTGTATTCTGTCTGCAAAATAGACTCTCAACATTTAATTGAAGTGATCATTTAAGTTGTCATTTAAACTGTAGTTTAGTTTTTAGTAAATGTTTAACATTTAAAATGCAAATGATTTTTTTTCCATACTATGTGTAAGTGAAAGTGAAAAACTGAACATGAAACAAGGAAATATAAGAGAACAAACTTCATGGTTTGTGTATGGAAGTGATAAGGAATTCTAATCATTTGGAACATTTTGCATAAATATCAAAACAACATTCATCAGGTGTTCCTCCCCCTTCACAATCACAGTTCAAAAGACCTTAAGAGTTCATGACAAGAACACTCAGAGCAGCATATTAGGTTGTAGCATTTATGTGTCAACTCATTTGTAAATGAATTCAGATTACAGACATGTGATGTGACTCTATAAAAAAATGTCAATGCTGATTTTAGTTCCACTTCGGTTTCAAAATGTTCTTCACTATTGAAAGGAAGACATTGAAAAACAAACAAGATGAACAAATTGGACACTCAAGAACACAGTCCTTCACATTTCTCTCAGTTTGAATAGTCTGTGTGAGATATGTAGAGGAAGAATTCAGAGTTTCTTCGGGCAGTGAGCTTATTTTTTATTTAGCTCTGACATTGCCACAACTTCAGATCCACACTCACGCTCAAACTATTACACCCACATCATTTCTCTGCCCAATAAAAAGAGAGCTACAGTATGAAAACAAAGAAAAACCTGCTTGAGATCTTAAAATAACTGCTCCTTAAAAAAAACACTTGATGCATCACTTTAAAATCTTGGCATCAAAAAGAGATAACAGGAATGTTACCCTGACTCGCGTACAACCCCTTCATTATCTGCACTAAAACAAATATTGACTCACTGATGATCCCATCTTAAAAAGTAAGGTTACATGCCTGTTATTTCTGGGAGCAACCATCCAAATGTGGCAGTACAGGAAAAAAAAAAAGATTTTCAATTGATTACCCAGAGAGGGAATTCGATATTTGCCACCCGCCGCCTTGGTTAAAGCACCGCATGAACTCCTAAATCACAATCCTGTTTCTTTTCTCTAGTTTTCCAAAGATTTGCCAGGGTACGGTGGGAAACATCACAGTCACTGGGGTGGAACAGTGAGAGCTACATGTTGGAGTTGCCTTAGTATTTCTCACAAGTGGTAACTGAGCAAGCAGAGGGCAAACTGTCAATACTGGTAATCTGATAACTCCAGTAACCTCTTTTAGTTTCCTATAGCATGCTTTACTCAGAAGGGAAACCTCTGTGGCATCAAGTTAGACAGAGTACATAATGAGTAGCTAGATTTCTGTTCATTTGCTACACAGGTCTGTTTAAGCTTTCTATCTTTGTCACACCGAGTGATATTGTATAATAATAATCAAGTTGAGCTTATCTATGCTCTATATTGTAAACCCATATTAACCTCTGGGAATATGAAATGTATAACTCTCTGCATGGGCACCGCTGGATCCTTCATAGGGATAGATTGGAATTTTTGAAATGAGGATGTTTGAGGTACTTGTAAATGGTTACTGTATATTAGCCACTGAAGATGTTGGTCAGCTCAGACCCTTCATTGGTACATTCACGCTGCATACTTTTGCTAATTTTAACAAAACTGAGCTAAAAAAAACCATACACATCAGAGTAAATGTACACTGTGTCCCTAACTTTTCCACTTGCAACCCACCGTTTTTAAACACCACTTTGGGACACCACGTGTTCTTCTGCCGACAACCTCGAGACACGCCTAGCACCCCCTGGGGGGGGGTCAGGACCCCAACTTAGAAATTCAGTGGTCTAGATCAGTGGTCCTCAGGACCCACCACCGGCTCCTCCATGAGAGATCACGACCCAAATTTCTGATATCTTACAACCAATCAGATTTATTTAATGAAACATTGTGCAGTAGACGTTACAGAACAAGGGATAGAGGCAAGAAACTGAACAAATCAAACAGTGCTTTGAAGACTTTTTGACCCCATTTTTATCCCAGCTACACATTTTTGACCCACTGAAAATGGCGAAGCAGCGGTCTAGATGATAATATTAATTGTATTAATCAGCTAAAACCCATTCAGAAAAAGCTCATTTTTTTAACAATCAAACAAATATTAGTGCACCTGCTTCAAATGTTCATTATTTATTCAACACCAAGTAAACTAGTAGACTTCATTTAAAAGAACAAGAAATATTCACATCAGAATTGTTTTTAAGAAACAAATGTACGCATCATTGAGCTTACAAAAAGACTCACAGGGTGAAAATATTAAAACATACTAAATAAATACAAAGAATAGCTCTACATATTTCCAAGTGCTCTTCCATGATTCATAAAAAAAAAAAAAAAAAGATACTTAACAGTGTAAGCACAGGCAATGCATGAAGAAAGAGGTCAAGGAATGTGTATTTCTTGGAAGGAGACCAAAAAGCGTAATAAATTAATATTTCTTTGTTTTTTGCGGGAATCGCTAGAACCTGCAGCAGAAACCGCAGCCGTTGTAGGCCTTGCAGCATTTGCAGCAATAGCGGCACAGGGAGAGGTGGCTCTGACGCTTCTGCCTTGTGTGACTTGGCATCTGTGTGAAAGACAAAGAGAGATGAGCAAGGTGTTCTTCTCCAGCACTCAATCCACACATTGAGAGCACCCGGGTACTCCACGGGGAAAACACATCCACTTAAATTTTAATTTGCTCAAGGTAATTGGCCTAATTCATTCAGTCAATTGAACATACCATCCACGATTCCATTGACATTTCTTGATGTGCCGCAACTGGAGTGTCATTGCTCCCTGCCTCCTCCAGCTCTCGCACCTGTTAATGAATTATGCACATTTAGGAGACACTTCTAAGCATCGTAACAAAACATTTGTGGCTAATAAGCAAATGAGGTGAGTTTAAGTCAAATTCTTACCTCGCTGAATGGGAGGGCAGAGCTCTCAAGAATGCAAATAAAGGCGAGCACGAGTGTCACTGCAACTGCAATGCTGAATGCCTTCATTTTAGCAAAGTGGTGTAGTTATTAAATCCTTTTGAAGATTAGAGTTGATAGGTCTTTTTTCTCATGGGTATCAGGACACCGAGGAACACCACTATGTCTTCTGGTAATTCTTCAGCTCCAGTGATGGATGGCAGCTGTCTGGGCAAGTGGATTTCTTCAGATCTTCTGTTGACCCTTTGTCAGCCCTTTGGAGTCCCTCTGCTGTCTGCTGATCGAGTATGCAGAGCGATCTGGTATTTATTCACCCCCGGGGCTCTGTGTTGCCTCATCACGCTGGGAGGCCCGGCCCATTCCTGGCAGCAGTTACCTAACTCCTGTCAGGAAAGTTTTGACCTCCTCATTACTGCTCCTTATAGTGCTGCAACACTTGGGGAAATTCTCTGATCTATTTTTGATTGTGGGCCTCACTGTCTGTTCAGCAATTTCAAATCATCTATGAACTTTTCAATTAAATTACTTTCCAAAGACGGAACACATAATTCCACACATGAACAAGCTGCCGCTGCTGCTGGAGACCATCATTTAAACAATTCTTGAGAGTAATCTGTATTCAGTATTGATGCGGCGCTTAACACTCGAAGAGATTTATCTAGAAATGGGACTTTTCCTGGCACGAGCTGAGGGGGAAAAGAAAGCACTAGGGATTCCCACAGAAAAGGCCAAGACTGCACGGGTCAGTCCGTTGCACGGCTGACTGAGCTGCACTTGTTTCGACCCACGAAATCCTTCAGTGAGGAGAGAGCGAGCCTCTTTGGAATATCCATTGCTCCGTCTAAAGGATGTAATTACAACCTCTCAAATGGAATAATTAGCCCCTCGTTTTCAGCACATTCAGTTTCTGCATAATACACAAGAACCTGCAGTTGAACCAAATTAAATCCCTTTGAGAGCAGTGGAATAGTAGCCAGGATTAAAGCCCTCTGTTTGAGGGTCGAGGTATTTTAATCGGCACAAGTTAAAGATGAATATTTTGTAATTCGATAAGATTCATTTTGTCAGGACATCAAATAATTGCATTGTTCAAAGTGTTTTATCTGAATATCACAACTACTGCATGTACATGTCATGATTTATCTTCCTATATAATTTTTTTTAAATATTTAATCATCTCTACCCAAAAAAGGTTATGGTTCAGTTGGTTTTTGTTTGTCTGATGGTCACTTTGAATGGCAGCAGGATTACAGAATTTTCCCGATATTAAGAGAAGAAGTATATAAAATTGGTGAAGGAATACCAGATTACATTGTGTACCAGATCCAGACTACACTTCCAAATATGCAATAATGGCTTCTAAAATATGGAATCTGACTAGATCAAGCAAAGCGCTTTCTTGTTGATATTCATTTTTATTAAAGACTTTTTGATAAATTTGATAAATCTCTATGATTCAATTTTCATCTTGAGCTTTTTCACACATGTACTCCTGAAAATGTTTGGATCATTTCACGACAGCCCGCCCCTGAAATCTTCCAGAGTCGGTTATCAAATATATTATGATAATAATAAAGACCGTTTTTGCCCTTTATTGAAATGCTACATATAGTTGGACGTGTTCACAGTATCAACCAATAAGTGGAAGAGAACATACAGGACAGCCGAAAAGAGTATGAACCTGTATATGGTATTATGTAAGAGTTATGTATGGGAATTCAGACAAAGGACAAATGCTTTAGTTGGATTAAAACATCTATACAGATTTCCTGTGAACAACTAATCATAGGCCCATAAAAATGACAGAAGATTTGAGTCTAAATATTTGTAATTTCAGGGAAATGGGTGGACTAAATCGTTAACATTTCATGGAAAAAACAAATCTCTAAATTTGAAAGAACATTTTTCTCCCTGTTATCTGTGAAGCAGTGATAAACACCTTAAGATTTATTAACCTGCCAGCGTAAAAAAAAAAACTTCCACAACGACATCAGGCTGTGAATAAATACACAAATCAATACTGGTGGAAATGAAATAACAAAAAAAGCCAAAAGAAAGGTACAAACTGATAAACAGTGGACCGAGTCTGCTGATAAAATCAGGGGCCATTTGAATTCTCATTAAACCTTCAAAGTGAGTGTAAATTGCTCGTGCTGACTCAATTAGAGAAAACAACATGTAGAGGGAGTCCTGCGTCAGTCTGTCTCCTTCTCTGATAACCCTGCCGGCCCGCGTGCTTACTTTGGGTGACCACAATGTCAAAGTCAACAAATACAATCATGAATGGCTCCACAATTGTTGGAATGTACCCAAAGTGTTCTAATATGAAGGAGTGCATCACATTTTCTTCACTTAATGTGCATGTGCTTTTGTGTTCCGCTGTGACTGAGGGACAGAAAAGGGGTTTCCAGTCCACTATTTGAACAAGTACATGGAGTCCACTCATGATAAACACATTTTGTTTTCATGTTTCACTCGCCATGACTCAGCTCGTGAGAAATCAGAATAGGACTCGTGTTGACTGCACCAGGATAATAATATTCGACGAGGTTCTCAGTGAATGTCTGATAATGTCAGGGAGAAGAAACTGACAAGTACAGGTGAGAAAACATTCTAAAAAGAGAAAAAACAACGCACACATTTGGGTTTTCCAGGCCTGTGTCCACAGAGCATGCGTGTTTACTCACAACTATCAGCGGGGATCTTCTAGCCAAACAAACTAGGCACCAGCCCGGCGGACAGATTCACCTCGACAGGCGCCACTCTACCTTTTCTCAGGGCATTGCACCCGTCTGTCCCTGTTGCATCATCCCCCTCTGTCCCCCCTTCTCTTGGTCCATGCCTGCTTTATATGGAGCTGCAAGACTATCCCCAAATTCAACTCATCATCAGTCAGTATGTCTCCTACAAAGCACGCCAAACACAACACACCTGATCCCCCAAAACACAGCCAGACAGACGCCTCAACTATTTACTAGTCTCAACTCAAAACTAGGGCAGGGTAGAACCCGCGTTGGGAAAGCATAAAGGCATCAACTTGTAAATAAACATGGGAACATTTAATAGTCATGACCTCTGTTCATGTTCTGCTCCTGTTTAGTAGGTGTAATGTCAGTTTTAAGCCTCAAGGGGCAGTGTTGAGCTCTGGTTAATGGGTGTCACACTTTCAGAATGGGGGAATTTCCCAGTTAGTCAGGGATTAGAGGCATGTGGTAATGTATTACTGGAACTTCTGAATTATTTTTGAACTGTGCTATTCATGAATGAGCCCCAGTTCCCTCAAAATGGATAGTGAAAAGATTAAACCATTATTACATTGATGCTTTAAATGTTAATGCTGCTTGAACTCCTTTATAGTAAAGAGAGTTGAGAAAAACAATAAAAACATGACAAGGCAAAATACAGTTTAAAGCGACAGAACCTTCAATGAAAAGATGGGCTTAGTTTCAAAATGTTTCTTAAATTCTCTGTTTTTTGGTTTTGTTTAGAGGTCTTATACAGCATGACTTATGAACAGTAAACTTTTTTGTAAAAAAAAACCAAACAAACAGCAAACAGTGTATGAAAAACAAATCAGAGATGGCATAAAACAGAAAGCAGCTATTGTGACAGCTTGCAGCTTTATGGAAGAGTGCAGAGACGGCTGTTTTGCTCATTCTCTTCATGTTTGATCCAAAGCAGAAATATGAGTCGAGTGCACAATTTGAAGTATGATAATGCAGTGGATACATCTTGTCGAATAAAAGCACACCTGGGTTTGTCTGCATTCAACTGAGAGGATTTGCTTGTTAATGTTTTTATGAATAATTGAAACCTCAGTCTTCTAGTGGAGTGTTTTTTTTTTTTTTTTATTATTGGGATTTTTGCACCACTGCATTGCTTTATTACCTAGAAGCTGTTAAACCAAAAAAAAAAAATTAAAACCAGTTTGAGCATTGGTTAGTCAGGTTGATATATCTGGCTTTAACAAATGCAGACCAGACCACACTGGGGAAAATAAGTGCAGCTAAAATGAATCTATCAAGTGTGCCTGGAGCTGAAACAAAATAAAAATGATCTTCAAGGGCGAGAATTCTCTGTATTATTATATACTTGGTTCTGATTGGTCGATTAATCATCGGAACTGTCATCTTTCCATCGATAGATCACTCTTGTGAAGAAGAACAAACCTTTACTAAGAAAAGCAGACAGTTGGGACTCAGCTCTTCTCACAGACTCTGGAGGATGAACTCTAATCCATATCAATCTGAAAGAAGTCCGGTCAGTTTGACGTCGGTCTGTTTACCGTGAGAAAGGAAAAGAGGATCTACACAATCGTACCGGCATTCTACAAAACCTAAGATGACACATGAAGTAAACACAGAACAGAAGGTGTTGTGAGATACGGCTGTGTTTTTAAAGACCGCTAAACACAGGAAGCCAACTTTTGATTTCCTTTTGAAGAGAGATTTTCTCAGGGTGGGGTTTGAAGGAGTAGTTGTTCTTCTATGAATGAACCTCAATCTTTCTTATCCATCTTCTTATTCGTAAACCTCAGTCTTTTTCTGGGTGATTATCCATAAAATCGTTGTGATTGGCTGCTCCCAATGATTTGTTGATGCACGTGTTCGGTTGAAAGTTCACCCCATCGACTGTACTGTTCTAACAGATGATGATGACTGACTCACAGGTATTCTGTTTAGCTGTACTCTCCATAGACTGACTTGGGGAAAAAACAAGTTAGCGTTCGGAAAAAAGGCATGTGTGGCAAAGGGGAGTGGTATTTGCGTCAATTGTGTGATTCTCACGTTCAATGCAAAAGAGTTGAGAGGAAGCCCTGGTTGAATGTTTCAAAAAATGTCAACACACTCTGAAATGACGGGGCAGAAAAGCTCAGTCAGTCGCTGCACTGATTCATGATCTCCCTTCACCTCGTCTCACTTCGGGATGAGAGGAAATGTCTAAGTTTAATATGAGTGATAACAACTTTTAAGGAAGGCTACAAAGGTTACTATTGCTATGGAAGCAGGAATAACTGTAGTTTCCAACGGTATATTTAGTGGAAGAAATTAATCATTTTTAAATCAATAAAGAAAGTGTAATAAGCGGGATATTGTATAGTGAGCAGACCCCTAACATGTTACATGAAAGCCTAATATAAGGAATGGTTTCTGGGAGTTTTTGTTTTGTGGTTGTTTTTGTGTCAGTTTGTTCAGTGAATCTGAGTCATTGGATCCTAATGGATTTTTTCCATTCGCTTCCAGCTGCTGCAGATGAGGTTTTAACAGCCTGGGAAAGTTGTTAAAACGGTTGTGTATTGGCACAGCCATTTTTCAACCACTGTTAAGTGTTATCAGGTTGTCGTTTAGTGCAGCAACCATTTTTATGAACCAAACAGACCTTAATGAAAGTATTTAAGAAGTTATGGATGATACAAACAGGAATTTTAGATCTTCTTTTGACAATTCTATTCAATTAAGAT